GTAACTGAGTCAGGTTTGTAGGCCTCCTTGCTCGCACACGCTTTTTCAGTTCTGCCCACACATTTTCTATAGGATTGAGGTCAGGGCTTTGTGATGGCCACTCCAATATCTTGACTTTGTTGTCCTTAAGCCATTTTGCCACAACTTTGGAAGTATGCTTGGGGTCATTGTCAATTTGGAAGACACATTTCCGACCAATCATTAACTTCCTGACTGATGTCTTGAGATGTTGCTTCAATATATCCACATAATTTTCCTTCCTCATGATGCCATCTATTTTGTGAAGCGCACCAGTCCTTGCTGCAGCAAAGCACGCCCACAGCATGATGCTGCCACCCCTGTGCTTCACGGTTGGGATGGTGTTCTTCGGCTTGCAAGCATCCCCCTTTTTCCACCAAACATAACGATGGTCATTATGGCCAAACAGTTCTATTTTTGTTTCATCAGACCAGAGGACATTTCTCCAAAAAGTACGATCTTTGTCCCCATGTGCAGTTACAAACCGTAGTCTTGCTTTTTTATGGTGGTTTTGGAGCAGTGGCTTCTTCCTTGCTGAGCGGCCTTTCGGGTTATGTCGATATAGGTCTCGTTTTACTGTGGATATAGATACTTTTGTACCTGTTTCCTCCAGCATCTTCACAAGGTCCTTTGCTGTTGCTCTGGGATTGATTTGCATTTTTCGCACCAAAGTACGTTCATTTCTAGGAGACAGAACGCTTCTCCTTCCTGAGCGGTATGATGGCTGCGTGGTCCCATAGTGTTTATACTTGCGTACTATTGTTTATACAGATGAACGTGGTACCTTCAGGCATTTGGAAATTGCTCCCAAGGACGAACCAGACTTGTGGAGGTCTACAATTTTCTTTCTGAGGTTTTGGCTGATTTCTTTTGATTTTCCCATGATGTCAAGCAAAGAGGCACTGAGTTTGAAGGTAGGCCTTGAAATACATCTACTGGTACACCTCCAATTGACTCAAATGATGTCAATTAGCCTATCAGAAGCTTCTAAAGCCATGACATCATTTTCTGGAATTTTCCAAGTTGTTTAAAGGTACAGTCAACTTAGTGTATGTAAACTTCTGACCCACTGGAATTGTGATACAGTGAATTTTAAGTGAAATAATCTGTCTGTAAACAATTGTTGGGAAAATGACTTGTGTCATGCACAAAGTAGATGTCCTAAACCGACTTGCCAAAACTGTAGTTTGTTAACAAGACATTTGTGGAGTGGTTGAAAAACGAGTTTTAATGACTCCAACCTAAGTGTATTTAAACTTCTGACTTCAACTGAAATTATACTTTTTATTTTATGCTATAGAATAATGCATGTTTTCAATTACTTCCATTGACATTTGTCAAATGCAGTTACTTCTGCATGTGGTTAACAAAGTTTCCTTAACCTTAGGTAATTTAGTTCAGTCTAAACTTTAAACAACCTCATTTGTTTTGTACCTATGATGCATGTTTCAAGGTATGTTCTGTATGTAGTGTACTGTAGCTGTGTGTGAAGCTGTTTTCAGTCTCCAACAGACACTAGAGCCAAAATCTATTATGATGTTGTTGTGGCTTTGGATTCCCAGTCTAAACTAGCAGGTGGAATCTCTGCATTTTTTGGTCAGACCATGTTCCAGGTATGCAACGTAACCAGTTTAACTCTTGGGCCCAGTGCAGTCAAAAACATGATTTTCCTGTGTTTTATATATATTTCCACACTATGAGGTTGGAATAATACTGTGAAAATGATGATCATGCAATTAGTCAATAGACTAATAAGAGAGTACCAAACCTCTCTGCCCATAACAGCTTGTTTTCAGACAGTCCTAGCAAAATTCTTGCTTGAGAAATTGGTCTTTGCTAAGAAGCTATTTTCGTTTATGTTTGACCATTTTAATTGAAAACAATCACAGTAAGGTACTTTATTGTTATCCAGAAATGATTTGATATCGAGATAAAAACAGCTGCATTGGACCTTTAAGAAAAATAACAATATGCAAAATAGATGAGGTGCAAAAGCTCTCTTTCTCACACACTCTCATACACATGCAGCTCTCACACACGTGCATGCACACACACACCTTCTCTGCACACTGTGAATAAACTCCAATAACATACAAGCTGCTAACAGCTGTGGCATGATTTCCCCTTGATTTGTACTCTTCACCTTAACTGACAATTACTAATTGATAGGGAGTGAATGGTATCTGTGATGCCAATGCCAAAACAGTGGTTGCTGAGATGAAAATAAGCAGACATGACACCGTAGGCGGAATAACACTCCTTGTTTGTACTCTTGGTTCTTTAGCAACAATGATACAGTGTGAACGCACAAGAACATGACAGACACCATTAAAAGACACAAGTTACTTAAAGTTATAACATAGAATTTTGACAATTGCATGTTTTTTTTTCTCAACATACACTACCAGTCAAAAGTTTGGACACACCTACTCATTCAAGGGTTTTTCTTTATTTGTACTATTTTTTACATTGTAGAATAAAAGTGAAGACATCAAAACTATGAAATAACACATATGGAATCATGTAGTAACCAAACAAGTGTTAAACAAATCAAAATATAGTTTATATTTGAGATTCTTCAAATAGCCAGCCTTTGCCTTGACAGCTTTGTACAATCTTGGTATTCTCTCAACCAGCTTCATGAGATAGTCACCTGGAATGCATTTCAATTAACAGATGCGCCTTCTTAAAAGTTCATTTGTCGAATTTCTTTCCTTCTTAATGCGTTTGAGCCAATCAGTTGTGTTGTGACAAGGTAGATTGACTGACCTTCATGTATACAGAAGATAGCCCTATTTGGTAAAAGACCAAGTCCCTATTATGGCAAGAACAGCTCAAATAAGCAAAGAGAAATGACAGTTCATCATTACTATAAGACATGAAGGTCAGTCAATCCAGAACATTTCAAGAACTTTGAAAGTTTTTTCAAGTGCAGTCGCAAAGACCATCAAGCGCTATGATGAAACTGGCTCTCATGAGGACCGCCACAGGAATGGAAGACCCAGAGTTACCTCTGCTGCAGAGGATAAGAACATTAGAGTTACCACCCTCAGAAATTGCAGCCCAAATAAATGCTTCACAGAGTTCAAGTAACAGACACATCTCAACATCAACTGTACAGAGGAGACTGTGTGAATCAGGCCTTCATGGTCGAATTGCTGCAAAGGAACCACTACTAAAGGACACCAATAATAAGAAGAGACCTGCTTGGGTCAAGAAATTGGAATCCAAATTGTAGATTTTTGGTTCCAACTGCCGTGTTTTTGTGAGACGCGGTGTGGGTGAACGGATGATCTCCGCATGAGTAGTTCCCATCGTAAAGCATAGAGGAGCAGGTGTTATGGTGTGGGGGTGCTTTGCTGGTGACACTGTCTGTGATTTATTTAGAATTCAAGGCACACTTAACCAGCGTGGCTACCACAGCATTCTGCAGCGATACGCCATCCCATATGGTTTGGGCTTTGTGGGACTATCATTTGTTTTTCAACAGTACAATGACCCAACACACATCCAGGCTGTGTAAGGGCTATTTTACCAAGAAGGAGAGTGATGGAGTGCTGCATTAGATGACCTAGACTCCACAATCCCCCGACCTCAACCCAATTGAGATGGTTTGGGATGAGTCGGACGGCAGAGTGAAGAAAAAGCAGCAAACAAGTGCTCAGCATATGTGGGAACTCCTTCAAGACTGTTGGAAAAGCATTCCAGGTGAATCTGGTTGAGAGAATGCCAAGAGTGTGCAAAGCTGTTATCAAGGCGAGGGGTGGCTATAAAATATATTTTGATTTGTTTAACACTTTCTTGGTTACTACATGATTCCATGTGTTATTTCATAGTTTTGATGTCTTCACTATTATTCTACAGTGTAGAAAATAGTAAAAATAAAGAAAAACCCTTGAATGAGTAGGTGTGTCCAAACTTTTGACTGGTACTGTAAATATGTTTTAAATTCAATTCACTTCGATGTCCACCGGTCTTGAGGCCTTTTTCCGTGACCGTTTCTTTCGTTAAAGTCTTTGGAAATGTATAGCGTCTCGCTTTCAAATGTGGTCTGCGACTTTGTAAGGTCATTACTGGCAGGTGAACAGATCACTGTCAGACTCCGTTTCCCATAATGCCACACATACAGTGTGGTCACATGATTCATTTTCTCCACTGGGCCTTCAGATCAGATGTTTGTATGTAACTAAGCAGCCTTCCCCTTTGATGCCTTTTGGCATCGTTTAAGCCCATATCTGATCTTAATCAAGATCTTTATCAAGATGATATGCATATAATATGAAAAAATTTAGAGAAACCTAAAACCTGAGAAAATATAGTGTTGCAATGATGGATACAGAAGTTAGTGTCATTCGTTCCATCGGCACAAATCATCCACCGAACACACAGCAGCCGTCACACAAAAGTCTACCTCTCACACACTCCTAGTGTCTAAAACAATTCGACAAAAACCAGAAAAGCAAAGAACGATGAAGAAAAGACGTTGACAAAAAACACCTAGATGGTTTCAATAGTACATTTAAGTCACCTCATTCTTCATAAGTACCAATACATTTCCTATTTATCAAGTAACACCTTTTCAAGTAGATGTACTTCCTTTATCTGGTATAAAATTAACTGTCCCATAAATATGGAGAATCAAGTGGGAGCCAAAGAAACATCAGGTGATGGACACACTGACTGTTTGTCGCCTTGGTGAGTAGTGCTTCCTTCCTCAGTGCAGCTCTCTAGAGATGGCACCTCCGTCAAAGTGAAGGATTTTACATCTGTGCATTAGTAGTATGCTCAAGCACAAATGGACAGCAGTCCCGCCTTTTGTTCCCTCGTGTTCTACCCCCAACCACCCTCCCTCTTTCATTCCTCCACCCATCCGTCCATCATCCATCCATCCATTTGCCGATAATTGTCCCCATCTCCTCAGTCATTGGTCCTCGCGTCTCGTGTCCATCAGTCTCCCTTCTTTCTTTCCCTCTCAAATGAGTCTACTGGGTCTTCCTAGCGGCTGCGGCGGCGGCTTCTGCTTTAGCTGCGGCGGCCTTCTTGGTCTTGTCAATGTAGGCCTCATGGAAGAACTGACAGAAGAGCACAAAGTAGCTGAGGTACATGAGTGAGGACCACACAATGTTCTGCACGTGAGACGGGCACTCCTGACCCTGCTGCATCCACGAGTAAACCAGGTAGTTCACCACGCAGCCCACCAGCATCTGGGTGATCTGCGTGAGCGTGATGAACATGGCGAATTTCCTTGAGACCTTGAAGCCGGCCGCTCTCAGGGCGTAGTAAGAGTACATGACGGCGTGGACCAGGTAGTTCATGGTCATGAACCAGCCGCCGCCAGCCACCATGTCCTTGTAGGAATACCAGGAGTAGAGCAGAACAGTGATGTGATGGTACCAGTGGAGGAAGATGAGCTTCTGCTTCCGCAGCACGATGAACAGGGTGTCACCTGCATGGCGGGTGTGGAGAGAGAGAGAGAGAGAGAGAGAGAGAGAGAGAGAGAGAGAGAGAGAGAGAGAGAGAGAGAATGTCAGAGACCGAGAGAGATAATGTCATGTCAGAGAGAGAGAGAGAGAGAGAGAGAGAGAGAGAGAGAATGTCAGAGTTACAAATGGAAAGGAACAAAAGTGCACACCTTTACACAGTAAGTCATCAATTTCAGGTAACACTTATTACTAGCATTAAGTGCTATTTAAGTGTTATCCTCTAATACAGGGGTTCCCAAACTTTTCCACAGAAATTACAACAATATATATGGGCTAAAAAATCCAAATAAAAAAACATTAGCTGACATGGGCTAGTTGATCTGGACATTTCTGACAAGTTATAAATAGCTCTCTAAGGTATGCAATGACTAACATGACAAGAGGAACTGATGATACATTACCCATTTCAACCCCTCGCCCCACCATTTGGGAACCACTGCTCTAATACCATCATGTTCTTGGTAAATCAATGTTAAAAGATTGTGATGACAACATTTAGGAGTGATAAGACAAAGCAAGGACCCAAATAAATATTTACAGTGTTTAATACATTTAATTTAATCCCAGATAAATGCACTGTGGGTTCTCAGAATGTTTATGCTGTAAGTATCAGTTTTAAAGCAGAACAGTCTCCAGGGTGTATCTGTTTTAAAGCAGAACAGTCTCCAGGGTGTATCTGTTTTAAAGCAGAGCAGTCTCCAGGGTGTATCAGTTTTAAAGCTTTGGTAACTTTTTTCAGCTTTGCTCTGTGAAATGGGGCCCACTTACATCAGACATCTCAGCTACAGGTTATACAGGAAAACTTAACATATACAGTGGGGAAAAAAAGTATTTAGTCAGCCACCAATTGTGCAAGTTCTCCCACTTAAAAAGATGAGAGAGGCCTGTAATTTTCACCATAGGTACACGTCAACTATGACAGACAAATTGAGATTTTTTTTCTCCAGAAAATCAAATTGTAGGATTTTTTATGAATTTATTTGCAAATTATGGTGGAAAATAAGTATTTGGTCACCTACAAACAAGCAAGATTTCTGGCTCTCACAGACCTGTAACTTCTTCTTTAAGAGGCTCCTCTGTCCTCCACTCGTTACCTGTATTAATGGCACCTGTTTGAACTTGTTATCAGAATAAAAGACACCTGTCCACAACCTCAAACAGTCACACTCCAAACTCCACTATGGCCAAGACCAAAGAGCTGTCAAAGGACACCAGAAACAAAATTGTAGACCTGCACCAGGCTGGGAAGACTGAATCTGCAATAGGTAAGCAGCTTGGTTTGAAGAAATCAACTGTGGGAGCAATTATTAGGAAATGGAAGACAAACAAGACCACTGATAATGTCCCTCGAATCTGGGGCTCCACGCAAGATCTCACCCCGTGGGGTCAAAATGATCACAAGAACAGTGAGCAAAAATCCCAGAACCACACGGGGGGACCTAGTGAATGACCTGCAGAGAGCTGGGACCAAAGTAACAAAGCCTACCATCAGTAACACACTACGCCACCAGGGACTCGAATCCTGCAGTGCCAGACGTGTCCCCCTGCTTAAGCCAGTACATGTCCAGGCCCGTCTGAAGTTTGCTAGAGTGCATTTGGATGATCCAGAAGAGGATTGGGAGATGAAACCAAAATAGAACTTTTTGGTAAAAACTCAACTCGTCGTGTTTGGAGGACAAAGAATGCTGAGTTGCATCCAAAGAACACCATACCTACTGTGAAGCATGGGGGTGGAAACATCATGTTTTGGGGCTGTTTTTCTGCAAAGGGACCAGGACGACTGATCCGTGTAAAGGAAAGAATGAATGGGGCCATGTATCGTGAGATTTTGAGTGAAAACCTCCTTCCATCAGCAAGGGCATTGAAGATGAAATGTGGCTGGGTCTTTCAGCATGACAATGATCCCAAACACACCGCCCGGCCAACGAAGGAGTGGCTTCGTAAGAAGCATTTCAAGGTCCTGGAGTGGCCTAGCCAGTCTCCAGATCTCAACCCCATAGAAAATCTTTGGAGGGAGTTGAAAGTCCGTGTTGCCCAGCGACAGCCCCAAAACATCACTGCTCTAGAGGAGATCTGCATGGAGGAATGGGCCAAAATACCAGCAACAGTGTGTGAAAACCTTGTGAAGACTTACAGAAAACGTTTGACCTGTGTCATTGCCAACAAAGGGTATATAACAAAGTATTGAGAAACTTTTGTTATTGACCAAATACTTATTTTCCACCATAATTTGCAAATAAATTCATTACAAATCCTACAATGTGATTTTCTGGATTTTTTTTTCTCATTTTATCTGTCATAGTTGACATGTACCTATGATGAAAATTACAGGCCTCTCTCATCTTTTTAAGTGGGAGAACTTGCACAATTGGTGGCTGACTAAATACTTTTTTCCCCCACTGTAGATGCAATGCATTCAAGGTGACCTTATCTCTTATCATACCATACCGGTCTAATTGGTGAACCCACTGCTCGACAGTGGAACACTACCAGAGGATTCAGTCTGTGTGTGAGAGTGTGTTTGTACAGCATCATTCTCTCTGAGTCTCTCTCACTCTCTCAGTCTTTCTCTCTAACTCTCTCAGTCTTTCTCTCTAACTCTCTCTCTAACTCTCTCTCTCCCCCATACACCTCAGTGACAGCGATGAGTGCTTGGGCCAGCAGGTTTGGACTCCACCCAACCAGAGAGCTAGAGCCAGGTTAGGGGTAGGGGCTTCTATCCCCCTCCTTGTGCCCCTGAGAGGGGGCTCCTGCTCTGGGCATCGTACTCAGAGCTGACAGGGTGTGGAGCACCAGTGACGGCAGGACTGGGCAATAACAAAAGGGCCACACAGGCAGAAAATGGATTCCCAGACACAAAAAGGCCAGACTCTGGGAACAAGGGAAAGGTCACTAAAACTAGGACCCGTTAGGGTGAGATGGCACGCCTGTCTCTGAGGTCATTGAGGACAGAAAAGATAATCGAACATGTCATTCATCTTCATGCCTAAAGATCTGTGTGCCAATCCACTGGTGGATTTTTTCAGCCAATGGGAGCAGAGATATTTCATGGGTATTATCTCAACATACTATACAGTATGTCCAATACCACAGTCTCATAAACCTTTCTAACCACAATGGACACTATGGACAGAAAAAGCCACATGTAAAACATATTAATGCATTATAGATGAGGATAAGTAGTAGTAGTAGTAGTAGTAGAAATAGTAGAAATAGTAACAGTCAACTTACCCAATTCTGGTGCTTTACTGAGCACAAAGGCGTAGGCCCAGAACTTGCTGACCGGCCCGTTGTAGAAACTCTGATCACACACCGACTGCTTGAGCCCTTTAGTCATCAGAATGTATGTCATGTAGCTTCCAGTGCGGACAGCACCAAATATACTGGACAAGAAAGAAAGAGAAAACGAAGGAAAGAGAGAGAGTAGAATGCTGTAAGTGAACCCCCAGGACTCGGGAATACAGTTACTCCGCCGGACTCTGGTATACAGTCACTCCCCAGGACTCTGGTATTCAGTCTCTCTCCAGTCTCTCTCCAGTCTCTCTCCAGTCTCTCTCCAGTCTCTCTCCAGTCTCTCTCCAGTCTCTCTCCAGTCTCTCTTGCCACAGCAATGTTTGTGCAGCATCGTTGTTTGAGTAAGTAATTCTGAAAACTGGCAGCATGACTTCTTTACTCTAAACTATCGTGACTGTTCCTTTAAGAGGTAGCTATACCTAAGGCCACAAGATGCTTACAGTATGTGCATTCACTGGTGCAGTGTTGTAATGTCTGCCCTCTTACCTGAACACTGCGAGGGTGAGGGACCATAGCACCAGCGGTTTCCTCAGATTGAATTTCTCCCTCTGTTTCATCACATGGCGGCCACCGAGTATGCAGGCAGCATAGAGGGCCGAGAAGAGGAAGGACTTCTTCCTGTAAAGGAAGAATGGAGTTTGGGGAACATAATCAGCACTTACTAGTGTCAAATAATGTAATAACAGATGGCCTAAAATACACAGTATAAAATATACAGTAGCGCAACATTAGATCATTTTTGGGGTATTACAAAAGCATCTGACAAACTTTGATTTTGGAGTAGACTACTCCATTAATTCCACATGGAGCACTGAATACCAGCTGAAACACCACCTGGCCAGTTCAGATCTAAATGATCTACATACTGAAGTGCTCAGCGTTATCATCTGAGGGGTTAGATGTTGAGTGGGCCAAAATAAAGCAACGTTTCAAAGCAAGATGTATTTGTTTGGTCCCAGTGGGCTCAGAATGAGACTTGAGGTCTAATCAATCACATTTGGGTGGCTGATGATGCAGCTTATGCAATACATTACTATATATAACAAAGTGATGTTAACTATAAACCAAGAGGAACCCAGACTTTGGGCTCCCATATGTTATAACCAAAACCCTAGAGATAACTCCCCTTCTCCATTCTGCAACCTCAGCTTCATATAGTGACAACGGCACTATTTCTTGCTCTTTTCAGCTGACTAGGTAGGTCTACAAGAACTTAAAAACAGGAGAAGTGCTTATTTTTTTGACTTCGCTTCCCTGTGAAAAATGGCTGAAGAGAGGGAAAAGGAGAAAGCTTATTTAGGGTAATGATGATATATTGAGGAGGAAAATGTGGCTTGTCATTATGCTTGAGTTCTCTAACTCTATGATAGCATAGGCATTTGCCTCTCAGCCTCCCTGTCATTCCCCCTGGCCAGATTGGAGTTGTCTTTTAATTTGTCAATGCAATGCAGGAATATTACCTAAAATCCCATTCATACCTCCACCTACTTTGCCCTGGCCATCCTTATAAAAAGTGTTTCAGACCCAATTCCCAGAAGCATTATAGGGCTAAGCAAGATCATGCACCCTTTCTTGTCAATGCACTTTGCCCCACATAACCCCTAACATCATCTTTCCCTGAACCAGAGGTACATAGCATATTGGAAGTAGGGAGGTTTACATTTGGGTACTATATCTGATTCTGGTTAGATCTACTGAAAAAAATATAAACGCATCATGCAACAACTTCAACGATTTTACTGAGTTACAGTTCATATAAGGAAATCAGTCAATTGAAATAAATAAATTAGTCCCTAATCTATGGATTTCACATGACTGGGCAGGGGCACAGCCCTGGGTGTCAGGCCCACCCACTGGGGAGCCATCCCAGCCAATCAGAATATGTTTTTCCCCACAAAAGGGCTTTATTACAGACAGAAATACTCCTAAATTTCATCAGCTGTCCTTGTGGCTGGTCTCAGATGATCCCGCAGGTGACGAAGCCGGATTTGGAGGTCCTGGGCTGGCGTGGTTACACGTGGTCTGCGTTTGTGAGGCCGGTTGGACGTACTGCCAAATTCACTAAAATGACGTTGGAGGCTGCTTATGGTAGAGAAATTAACATTCAATTCTCTGGCAACAGCTCTCAAAACTTGAGACATCTTTGGCATTGTGTTGTGTGACAAAACTGCATATTTTTGAGTGGCCTTTTATTGTCCCCAGCACAAGGTGCACCTGTGTAATGATCATGCTGTTTAATCAGCTTCTTGATATGCCACACCTTTCAGGTGGATGGATTATCTTGGCAAAGGAGAAATACTCACTAATAGGTATGTAAACAAATTTGTGCACAGAATGTGAGAGGAAATACGCTTTTTGTGAGTATGGAAACTTTCGGGGATCTTTTATTTCTGCTCATGAAACATGGGACCAACACTTATCAGTATATTTGCTTTGAAGTGAAGGAAGAAAGGTTAAAAAAATGGGCAAACAAAGTAAATCTAACATTATAGAAACATAATAGATCCTAACTTCCTATAGGGACACTCACTAGCCTGTGTTGACCAGAACTAACACTTCTGAACAACCTCACCCTGAACAATATCCTGAAAGAACATTACTGTTGTTGACAACGAGTAACCCTTTGTGCAAAATGCAAATAATCAAACTGCTAGTGCTCCCCATCATCTGTGTTTGCTTGCAGGCTTGATAACTGATTGAACAAAGGACAAAGCAGTGCAGTGAAAGTCCAAAGAAGCTGCTTTAACACAATGATAGCACAGTTCTGAGCGCAGAATGACATCATTGTTTCGATGCAAATAAACAAGGGTGAAGAATGGAGAGAGTCTGAGTAAGCGTCCTATAGTGAGGCAGAGCGAATTCCAGACGAACAACAAACCCACATTCCCCAGACACTGTCTTCACAGCCAAAAAGGTTAAAGGTCACAATGATACAGTAAATGGATTCCTCAGAACAGTACAGTTGAAGCTTCAGAGATGTGGATACTAGGAAGTAGAGGACCAAATACCCTGTTCACACCATCATACCAAACCCAAACCAAACTGTGCTGGTTCTGATCTTTTCTTTTCACGCGATCCTATTCAGCACAGTTCCCAGCAACTATGGTGGATGCTAAACCAGGTCAGCACAGTAAAGCTTGGTTTGGTTCAGCTTGGTTTGTCTCAGTAGTGTGTAAAGCCCTACAGAGTACGGTCTGAATGAGGTACAATAACATGGGGTAAAACCCACAAAGGTCGGAGAAAACCTGGGGCATGTTCAAAAGTTGACAAATGCTCGATCGGGCCAGCTGTGGCCAAGTTATGCCTCCAGGAATGGAAATGAATTTGAGACGTCAGTGTGAATTCACATCATGCCTCCACGCCTCGTAGTACCTGCATGTGGCAAGGGCATTCACGTCGGAGCTTCGGATAGGGGCTGGGGGCTGAAAGTGTCTCTTGCTGCCTCTCTATACCTAGGTCTAGGGGTCAGAGGTCATCACCTATATGCTGATCTATGGTCAGTTTTGCATGTTAAAGTCCGACTGCCTTTAAAAAGCAATGAATCCCTTTGAAAACGGCTTGTGGCTTCGATATGAGTCAGAAACAGTTATTCTAGTGTCGAAACAGACTACAAAGTGTAAATAGGATAAGTTTAGTCATAAAGTCAGTCTCATCTAAAATGGAGTTTGGTACATCCGTGCGTCACAACGGTTAAATTAAGGTTGAGTTTTGATTTGACAATGTACATTTGCCCACTAACATGGGGTGAACAGCTACGGTGATTGCTCTCTATCCAATAGCATAGACAGTGAGACAGACCTTGCACACATAAGACAACACGGCGCAAATGTTTTTACTTGAGAAATATTGCACCAAGTTAGTTAGATGTAAAATTGCGCAACTAAAACATCCTCGACAAAAACATAAACATTTATTATTGAGTTATCTTAGATTCATTCTGGGGATTTTGAGGAAGTGAAATAGGCTTCCGTGTCTACAGTGTCTCATGGGGGACAAACATTAACCAAATGCGGAATCAGTCAGGAAACACACCTCCAAGACTGAAATCTCATTTTTCTAATGAGCAACAGAAAAACAAACGAGCCAATCGGCATGTTGAGTGGCTCTTTAATAGTTAAGGTCATGATTGGGGGAGTATAAGTTTATCCTAGATCTGTGCCTCTAAGCGACTTCTAACAGAGAAGCTCTGTCAGGGAGGGTTATAGTCAGAGATATGCAATCGTCTCTGAATGATAACATCAGAGATGGTGTACTAATCCAAGAGATTTATCTTCACCTGAAACAAGATTTATGCACTTCAATCAAATCCAAGACATTAGACTCTTGGCACTGGACTCATTTCTTCACAACTGATTTATTTGTTATTTACTTCCATCTGACAATAATGAACCACAAATCTACCTGAGACAGGATATATTTAGATGAAAACTCAGTTTGGTGTCAAAAAACCCAGCAGTGAGTGTCTGCTAATATGTAAATGCAATGCTATTTGGAAAACAGGAAACTCTACACTATGAATGCTGTTCCTGACTAATTACGATGGCACAATGTATCAGGAGAAGGAGTACTACTGTTACAAGTACAGTAGTGCAATCAGAAGAGACTTCTCACACTCTGCGCATTCTGAAACCTTGCTTTATTCTTCTAGCTGAGATTTGTTGAAAATACCTTTACGATTCACCTCAGCTTCATTGGCGGTTTAAAGCACAGCCTAACAGTGATTCAAAACGAATAATCACTGTGAAAATAATAAACATCACATACAGCAAATGTGGAACATTGAGGCTTCAAACAAAACCATGAGTGGGATTTCAAGAGATGTGATTTTATTTCCTGAAATTAGACATATTTCATGAAATGTTCCTATGCTTTAAATGGAGTTGTAGCCCTTTTTCTTCATTATTATATTGTACCTCTCACATCCCCTGAGAGCTATCCAACAGATCTCCTCCTATTGCCAGTCATCATCAGCATCCGTGGAGAGCAAGCCAGCTCCCATGCATTCCCTTATCGCTGGGCGGTGGCCAAGTGTGTACCAGAGCCTCTGCTGGAGCTAAGCAAACATTAGGGGCTGACCTAATGCTTTCTGATAGAGCGAGCAAAGCAGTGGCGGCCTGCCGGGGGATCTCATTTCCTCCTATGTCTGCACCATGTATCAGGTCATCCTGCCAAACAGAGCTAGCTAGTGGCGTGAGCTATAAATATTAATAAAACGTTGATGACTTTTAATATGAAGGAGGCCACAGAACTAATGACTGCGCCTGGTTATAATCATAATGTAGGATCGCACAATATTGTACCTCTTTGCACTTACTTGTGGAATAATATGTCCCCTGGCTTAGGGCTTGTTTGAAAAATCATTGCAATAGGTATCTCGCTCTGTAAATATTTAACAGTGTAAGTGGAGAGAGATTAGATAGGGAAAGTGTGGACAGATCTCTAAACAAATCTTCCCTGAAGATACTGGACCATGGCAGGAACTATTTGACTCAACTTCTCTAATGCAAAAGGAGTCTTTCAATATTGCTGACTAGATCTGCATGCATCTTCTAATGGTTGGGCCAACCCAGTGTTATCAGTTCACAATAACTAGGCTAGTCGCCCTTGTGGCCCTTTCCCTCTCCCTAGCTGTGTTGGTCAAAGCTACTGGCAAACCTGATGTGTAACTTGGATCTGTATTAGCTGGAGCGGGAGATTTCACCCCTTACGTAACACTGCCTTTGAGGATGAGTGTGTGTTCGGTCTGAGAGCTGCCTTCACAGTATAGCGACTCAGTTCAGGGTGAATGGCCTTGTTCCCTGGCTTGCTTTAGTTGTTTGTAGGTTGCACAGTAGCAGGGGAATCAGTAGTGGGGTCAAGCCATACCCCTGAGGTACGCCAAACGTTCGGTTCTGTAACAAAGTGCTACATAAGGCCAAGATATAAATAAGCCCTGGATATAACAGATTAGACAGTCCGGTAAGAACCATCCTGATGCCCGATGTCCACCAGATGCATATGCGTTTTGTTTTGCTGGATGTCCGTCCTTGATGCACATGTGCTTTGTTTTCAACTCGCTAAAAGGTAGCTAGTTGGAGTCTGTGTGTGTGTAGTTCTGTTTGTACCACTGCACGGTAAAGCAACACACAAGTTGAAAATATTGAACACATGCGATACACCGCAGCCAAGTGTGGCACCCCCAATGTAGCGCTGCAGACTGCTCCATTGACAATTAATGACTTCTGCCAGAACGCAAAGTGTTTGATGCATCTGGTGTTTGATAATGATACATTTAAAATGTACACTGTTAGTTACACTGCCTATTTCAGTTGAGCTGATAATAACTGTACAACAAGGCAAATTATTTTGTTTGGCTGTGGCAGATAATCGTTTCAGCTTGTTAAGGGATTAAAGTGTAATGGTGAGTGGCTGGTTTATTTATAGTAGAAAGAGAATGAAAGGTTTGCAAAGGTTTGAATGAGACCTATTGCATTTAGCGAATAAAAATATGCAAGGTGAGCAG